ATTTGGGTTTATTTTTCTTTGACCAATTTTTTAATATTTGGAGTGAAATGAGTAAGGCCGATTCTTAATAAAGAGTGCAAGTGTTAATCAGTCAAACGAAATCTTTCTAAACATTTTGCGTAATTCATGCGGGAAAATGTTTGTTCGCAAATATAAGTAGAACCAAATAATGTAAATATACGCATTGATAATTATTTTATTTTTGGAAAATCATCAGGAAAGGTCTTATAAAAATGTATTAAATTTGTGTTTTTATCTGTGATTTCTTTATACAAATTTTTCAAATGATTATTTGTTTTTAAATCAATAAATTCAAGTTGAACAGTTTTTGAACCTCATTTTCATCGGACAGACATGGATTTTCAACTATCCGAAATGAAATCATATGTGGTTTGAAATCTTGAAAATGGTATTCAAATTTTATTGATATACAACATATTCACAAAATGATTCGTCGTAACGTCAATAAAAGAATTTCGTTTAACACGTTTCAAAATGTAAAAAACTAATCCGATATTTTGCCCAACCATTTTTGGAGCTCCATCTGTTGTGGTACTGCAAAGTTTTTCCCAGGTGAGTCCTAAATTTTCAATACAAAAAATCACTTTTTCAAAAATATCTGCTCCTTTTGTAGTTGCAGAAATACTATCTAATGAAGCAGTTCTCCTGTTATATTATAATTTGTATCTATTCCTCGTATAAATATTAATATCTTAGCAGCATCTGTCAAATCAGTGCTTTCGTCCAAAGCTAAAGAAAAAAATGTAAACGTTTTCGATTTTATTTGTAACTGCGTCATTAAATCACCTCCGATGTCTTCAATCCACCTAGTAATAGTATTTCGAGACAAACTGACATTCTCGAATACAGACATTTTTCCTGAAATAATTTCTTTTACATTTGCTGAGATACATTTTTTAATGAATTCACCTCCACTAAGAATTGTATTTTCATAAGATATCAGGTTAGCTACTTCATTGCTCCTCCTTACCCCTATTATGTTTTCCGAATACATTTCCAACTTGTTCACTTTTGTATTTTTCTAACAAAGAAGTTCTAAGATTCCTTAAAAATATAAATTTAAGCATTTATTTCTAAATTTACTTACCAAAATACCTAAATACCCTCATCAAAAAAAATTTAAAAATTATGATAAATATGTACCTTTACAATTGACGTATTTGCTTTGATGATTACTTTCATAATGTCTTTTAATGTTATATTCTTTTAAAACCGCTACGGTTTCATAGCATGTCACCTACATACATATGGTTTTTTATGATACTCAATAAAAAAAAATAAGCGAGATTCCAACTATCATTGAAAGCACGGCATTCGTTATCAATTTTGCGATTTTTATTTTGAAACATTTTAATAATTAAAATTTAATTTATTATTTTTTGCAAACAATAAATGTAAACCTGTAGTTTCTAATGACGAAAACAAACTAGCAACTAGCGTGGAAATATTGAGTACTTTTAAACACACACGTTCAGAGTCATAGATTCGATAAGTGAATAAAGGTAAAATAATATTTTATCTATTGTACATTTTATCGTATTGATCATAAAAAATCCCGTGAAATATATACGGCCCTCAGTATAAATATAAATTTCGAATGTAGTCCACAAGTTGTAAAAGGTTGGGTACGCCTGCTCTATGGGAACACCACTGCTTTTTATCAGATAACAGGTCATTTAATTTATGGAATTTAATAATTATTTATTATATTTTAGAATATATTTAACTTATCTCTTCTTATTAATTAATATGATACGTAATGAGAACTCGTATGGGTTACAATAGAGCAATGAAACTATTATGAGTTTTACAAACATATGTTTTTTTTCGCAGAAAACACCTTTTCGGTAGTAATTCAGTCTATATACTCTAATTTTTCAAAAAATAACTTAAAAGATACAGATTTTCCATTTGATAGTACTTTATTTGAAATTTTTTTCTGGACTTTTAGTTATTATTTGAGAAAAATAGGAAAAATAATAAAAATGTTTGACGAACCGAACTCCACTATGAATCATTTTTTTTCTACTGCAATGATTTATCATTGCTTACACTGCTAATATTAATTGAACTAAATTCCTGTTCGCTGTTGCCCATACCTATTTTCCCAACTTTCCCCTCAAAACAGTAGCCCACCCATGGCGTGGAGTTTACTTATTTTTAAATTTTAACTGTCACAAATACCATAGAATTGATAAATACCAATAATACTAGTAATGTCATAGAGTAATACTCAATGGGCCAAGTACGTTTTGTTAGTATGCCTACTGCTATGGAACAACAAATGATAATGATTGATAATGAACAATATTACAATACTCGTTCCATATCCGTTATTTATCACTAAAAAATAAAAAAAGACCACGAGGAGAAATCTATTCCTCTTATCCTTCCCCCCGTGATTACGCCCATGATGTTAATTTTTGATGCATACTAGTCGAACATTTCAATACGGGCATACCGGTTTATTGTAAATAAAAATATATATTTTACTATAGTGTAACTAGTCAAAGAGACTTTTAGTCAAAAGAATTGGAATTGGAAATCGCATTGTATATATGATGTTATTTAACCTTAAATTGATTTTAGTGAATACGAAATTAACAAAAATATGTTCAATATAAATATTATAAAAAAAAATAATGTACTAGAATGCTAGATAACAATTTTTACCGCGACTTTTTTAGCGAGCTAACGTCATTACGATTTTAACTAAATCTTGGTTCCCCAATATTATAAAAAATTTGAGTGGAACTAATAAAGATGTAGAAACATTAACTATGAACAATGATTCAAATGTATAAAATATAAACCTGTAATGGCTAATAACATGCAATGAACACGTGCAAATATTAATGATAATATAATTATAGCTGTTCGCGGATTAACTTTTGAGTGACGAAAAAACAACGATGATATTAACGAGTATTAAGTGTATTAAAACATCTTAAATCCAAGAGAAATAAATTGTGTTATAAAGTCCACGTGGTGAAATGATTTTTTTTGGCAAATATTTAGGGCGCAATTATTTATAGTGTAAATTTATGTGACTATTTTTAGAATTTGTACGAATTTGTTACAACAGAAAAGTACACGGGTCATTTTCTGTACTTATTGACACAAACACTTGGTTCATCCTTCGTGTACCATCTTTTATTTATTTTTAAACCTATAGTAGTGAAGAATCTATGCTAACATTACTACTCCACTACTTTCGTCGTTTATTAAATAATTTAAATACAGATTTATGATGTGACGAACCACTGCATCCCCTTAAATCTTCGTGTATCCAAGATAAATGATTTATTTGAAGGTCACAAGGAAAATACCAAGAAACTTTTCTCCAACCAACTCCCATGGCATTTGTCGCTTTTTTCCCACTGTTAAACCGAGGTCATAACTTAGTTTTTTGTTTTTGATGATTTATCGTGAGTTACAAATATAAACTAAAATACCCTTTATATTTTTAACCTTACAACATCGTAATTCTCCATTTACTGTATGTTTGTCAGTATGACAGTATGTTCCTCTTGTTTTTAAATAAAGTACCACAGAGCAGCGACATTTTAAATCGTATCACGGTCTCTTTGCCTCTTATTTATTTATTTATTTCGCATGCTTTAGTCCATCATTACCATGAACTATTTTATTATCATCAAAAATTGTATAAAATACGGGCGCGGAAGACGGCTTGTTACGCCTGCCTCCTTCGCTGGCGAACTAGAGTGACGCTGCATAACTCCTAACCTTATCGTACACCCCCCCTTCCGTAAAAAGAGGGAGAAACATATTCGCTTTTCTAACCTAAACTCTATCCTGATATTACTGTATGGAGGATGATGTCACAAATTAAAATCCTAAACCTCGTTACGCGAAACCGGGTCTTATTAATTGTAAACCCAATGTCTGCTATATATAGTTGACTAATCCACCACGCGTGCAAGAAAAATACAAAAAAGAACAACAAAAAAATCAATTTTTTGGGAAAATGATTAGGTATATTCTTATAATAATTTAATTAGTATAGATTTTGTAACAAAATATTATATTTTTTGTAGCAAATACTGTCACTGGCGCCTGGCAGGGTAATGGCAATGGCTTAACTTCAAAATTTGGACTCGGAGCGAAATTTTCAATGGGTCCCCTCTCTCCCCACTCATCCAGGCATAAATAGGTGGCCTGAAAGGAAAGAATCCCCGTTACGTTGTGATTTTAGGCTCCTTAACCGAACGAGCCCGGATACAACTGCACTATCTGATCCCACTTAGTTACGACTCTGGGGAATGAGTAACTGATGAAATTCAAAAATTTAAAGAGAAGGTTTGGCCTATCGACTCGTGCATGGAACTTTTAAGAGAGCGGAAAATGACGGACACGCAGTGGATATTCACAATTAAAAAAATGTCCTACGATATAATATAGCGTGTAGCGTCCTCTTAACGAGACGGTTAGGTTATATTAATAATAATAATTATAACGATAGAACTCTTCTCCTGAGAAACTCGGTCAAATGATCCAGCCGGATATTACGGTAGACGCACGCGGATACGCGAAATAACGTGTACAACTAACTATATACCTACCTATTAGATATAATATACACATTGTAGTTCGTCGAGAACGGTTCCCGCCGCGGCGGATAGAGATTAGTGTTGGTTTTTTTTTTTTTTTTTTTTATGTTAAATTTTCATATTATTTTGCGGTGGAACAATATTATTAATATCACATTGTAAGCGACCGGAGATCTTCCGGTGTCGCGGCTGGAGGGGATATAATATTATTATAATGCGTATACAGATGCGTGAATTGCGGCTAATATTAAATCAATTATAATATGCGATAGCGCAATCACACACACACACACACACACACACACACACGCAAGCACGCACTTAAAATAAAATACACTGTATACGCATACTGACACGAATGACACCAGGCGAAAATATCGCGCGCGTCGCTGTCATCGGCTTGCCTAGCCGGAAAGCTTCGTGCGTATACTCAAACTGGTTTCGCGGCGCGCGGCGCCCTTTCATTTCAGTTCGAAACCCGACGGCGAACGGTTTATACCTAAAATAATAATAATAATAACAATAACAACAATAATAATAATAGTTATAATTAAAATAATAATAATAAATACACAACAATATTGCTAACATTCGTATTTAACACTTACACGCGTCGAAAACCGAGACGAGACCGGCACAGTAGTCCGCGACTTTTCGAGCACATCGGCACACCGTCTTACACACCGCGCGCCCGTAAAAAATAAACGTCGCGATATTTTTTAACGTCAATTCAATTTTCTCGAACACTATTGTTAATGTTTATTATGTGAATAACCGCCGTCGATCAGTTTCGCCGTATATTTTACATCGTATGTTTTCGTCGGTTTTTCCTCCCCTCCCGTTATTACACACATTTTCACCTATACATCTTTAGCCGGTTCCTGCAGTAAGTTTTGGTTCCGGTTTTCCGCGTGATAATATATCTAACTTCGCAACAACAAAAAAAAAAAAAAAAAACAATGCGCGCATCTCTGGGACCCGGAAAACACATTTGAAACGTCGTTTCTGCAACAGTCGGCGGTCCGAATTTCTAAAACGAAAGAAAACCATACGTGCGAAAAACCGTATACGGATAGAATACGACTGATACAATCAGCTAATATCGTCATCCGTGTATATATTTACCTACTCTCAACACACGACCGTCTATACTGTGAGTAATAAAAATATAAGTTAACTATGTTTTTGTTTTTGTTTTTTTTTATAACTCAAGGGGTCGGTGGATATATAGGTTAAAATCGTTCAGGAGGAGGGTTATAAAAGAAAAATCATGCGTGAATGCATTGGAAATTTGTTTGTGTTTGAACTGAACCCGCCGCACATTTCTACTGCGAAGTGCATATACGTATACGTACTCACCACAGCTCGTTTTCTACAATATTATACCTTTACGTCCTATAATAATATTGCTATGAATTATGATTGTGTTAGGGGTTACGTAAATTCCGAAGAAAATTTAATACAAGTACAATCATAATACAATTGTTAAACAATGTAACGAAGGCAATACCCGTGGTGAGAGTGACGAAATAACGTCACGAATAACGTATATAGGTATACACCTATGATACAAGCAGTACCGGAACAAGGAATTTTTACATCCGGGGATAAAACGCCCAATGCGGTGATCCCCGCACCCCCTGGCCCCTTCACTCTCCAATATTTATAAAATGCAAATCTACATATTTCCACCTTCGTCCTCTAAGATAATGAACAGTTAAACTAAATAATTATCTATATATCGCTTATAAAAAATAAACACATGAATATTTCACTCACGGAGATAAATCCTCACCTCTCCCTCTCTAATTCCGACCCTGTCTATAAGTATTAAATTTCTAAAACAAAAAAAGAAAATTCAAAAAATGTAATTTTTGTGGCAATAATCCATATAATAATATAAAGTTTTTAAGTTTCGTCTTGGTCTATATTATAATATACCAGGCGTGCCCAACCCGAGACCCGCAGCCGGATCCGGCCCACGAAAGTATTTCAACCAGCCCGTAATTATTTTATAAAAATTAGAAATTTTTATACATAGGTATAAAAAAAATAAAAATTATAATTTTAAAAAATGTTATTGTAATAAGCTTCTAAGAATTACAAAATATTTATACAAAATAACTATAATATTTAATATAATAAAATGTATTAGTTTTTAGAATATTAATTGAAATAAATTAGTGTGAAATTTTCGTCTTGTTTTTCTGTAACCAATTTTTCAATATTCGCAGTGAAATGTGTAACGCAAAATCTTTAAAAAAAGTGCAAGTGTTCATTTGTTAAACGAGATCTTTCTAAACATTTTGCATAATTCATGCGGTAAAATTCGAAAATATAAGTAGAACCAAATAATTTAAATATACACATTGACAATTCTTTTATTTTTGGAAAATCATCGGAAAGGGTCTTATAAAAATGTATTAAATTTGTGTTATTATCTTAATTAAAATTTAATTAATTATTTTTTGCAAACAAGAAATGCGAACCTGCAGTTTCCAATGCCGAAAACAAACTAGCAGCTAGCGTAGAATTATTCAGTACTTCAAACACAGTCAATTCAAGTCATAAATTTGATAAGTAATTAGTGAACAAAGAAAAGATAATATTTTATCTATTAAACATTTTACCGAAATTATCATAAAAAAAACCTGAAATAAATACGGCCCTCTGTATAAATATAAATTTCGAATGTGGCCCGCAAGTTGAAAATGGTTGTATATAATAGCTGTCCCGCCCGGCGTTGTCCCTATTAAAAGACATAATAGACAAATAAATTATCAACCGTATTACCAATAAGGTAACCCATAAATCAACAGAAATAATTAGGTTTTCTTAGCAAAAACACCAATAAACCTGTGTCAGCCTCATTTAAGCGTTAAATAAAAAAGTAGCCTATATGTTATTCTTGGTCTCGAACTATATTTATAAAAAGTCTTAGCTCAGTCCGTTTAGTAGTTTTAGGGTGAAGATGTAATAAACATCCATCCAAACAAACTTTCGAGTTTATATAATATTAATAGCATTAATATATTACGTTCCGGTCCTATAATTAGTTTTTAAAAAACAAAAACTACCTAAACGGTTCATTATACAATCACAATATTGCTCGGGCGTGATGAAAATAAAACTTTACCGTCGTCGCGTGTAGAATATTTCGTCGCCGACGTTCACGATAGGAATAGGTATATAGGTATATAAAGAATAAAATGATGAGTGACGACCGTGTACATAAAAAAACAACAAATTTAATTGTTCATTGAATAGGTATAATAGACAACGAACCTTAATAAAGGTACCGAAAAAAATGTAACGATTTCCGTATTAAAAGTCCATAACACAAGTGACGTGGGCCCTTACAATTATTCAGGAGAGGAATTACGGGATGAAAAAAAGAAAGCATAAAAACTTACGTCCTGTTCCGGGATACCCGTTTGTCGAATTTGAGCCTTTTCGACGTTATCAATAGTTTTCCACAATTGTAATTGTAACGCGTATATTTGAATATGTTTGAACATATTTCGAACAACATACACACAAAACAGTTCGTATTTATGTTAAATATTAGTTAGATTATTAATAATATCTAAAAATACACGACGTATTTCAGTATTACACGTATATATAGGTATATATTTTAATATTGCGCGGTTTCTATATATTTTCATAGAATGGCCTACCTATTAGTAATTATTATTCTAAATTTAAAATTATATAATATAGATTATATTATTATACACTCGACTAATCAAAAACTATAAAATATAATTATATTTGGCCGGTGCGATTCGTTTATTTTTTTTTCCAATAATACCTTTGTCCAAAATGAATACAAAAAAACGAGCCGATTGTGTGTGTTTGTGTATAATATGATGGATTGAATTATACAATCAGTCCGTTCAACTCGCGGGTTTATATGGAATTATGCATTTAAGAAAACAAAAAAAAAAAAAAAAAAAAATGATATTAACTCGTCACGTAGATTCGGTATAAAATTATAAATGTAAATGCTCGAACGATTTTCATAATAATTTACTATTCAATGTTTATACTAATTGTTAAAACTAAAACGCGGATGGATAGGTACCTATGCTATAATTTATAGTGCTGATTAAATCGCGTACATCGAGTATATTAAGACATCGAATTCATTAGACAATTTTAAAAAAACGAAGCTGCCTGTAGATTAGTTAATCATTCAAATTAAAAATATTTATGTTTATAATCATAATTAATATACTTTTTTATTACTTGTATAAATACCCAACGTGTATATTTAATGATCAATGAAATAATACAGTAGAATAGTGTTATACTCGAATGTAAATGTAATAAAAAAAAAAAAAATAGCAATAAAAAAAACGGACATTAAACTCATTAAATGACAGTGTCATTTATATAGGTAATAGGAACCTAAAATATCTATTTATTACATTATTTTATGTATATATATATATGAGCGTCCTCAAGAACGAATCCATCTCTCATGTTTTGGAATTTGAATCCTAGAATTCAGAAAAGATCGTTAAAAATCACAATTTTCGTTTAAAAATATAAATCAATAATACGGTTTAAATATTTCATACAGTTTATAATGGTTTATTATCGTTTTCAATAAAAAAAAAATATTATAATAGTAAATGCTTTTGGTTTTCCATTAGAAAGTACGGTTCTCTCATCTTATATGAATTTTCCCCGTGGGAGAGATCAAAAACCTTCAAAAACGAAAAAGTAATTTTTCGTACGTTCAAAAATATCGTATTTTTTTACTCACCGCGACTTGTACTCGAACGGAAGTATATGATCGCTGCAATTTAAATATTATAAGTAGATGGAAATCAAACGAAATCAAATGCCAATTTTTTTTTTTTTTTTTACAATAATGAACATAGTGTATAGAGCACGTGAGTTACATTGAAATAGTGATTCAATGGCATTTATAATATTTGAACTGTATTTGAATACATACATACATTATTATAATTTGAACGTTAATATGGTAGTACCTAATAATGTTTAAGAGTGGATAATTATACTTGTATGAAACTGTTTTTTTTTTTTTTTCTTTTTTACCTTTTATATTTTTGTTAAATGATTATTTTTTTTGTCATATATTGTTTTTCCATGGATTTAATTTGGACGTTTATATTGATGTTTGAAAATACGATATTAATTTTGTTCAAGCATTATTATGTACGTTCACGCAGAAAAATGAAAATTGAAAATTGAAAAAAAAATTACTATTATATTCAAATAGAACATTCGAAAAAAAGTATTATCTGTTCAAATATTATTAATTATATTATATTTCAGTAAAGTATTTTCAACTTGTTTTAAACTTTTAAAAAGGCCCACTTATTGTGACCACTAAAATTTTAGTATATACTCGTAGATATATAATAATATATGAATAATAGTAGTTTAACAATTTGTAATAATTTGGTGAGGATCTTCATTTATTTCAAAATTAGTGTAGTAATTCAAAAAAATATCGATTTACGAAAGTACGCTGGGGAATAAATACTAAGTTTTCGGGATAAAATTCTATAATTTTTAACGTTTTTTTTTTATTATTATTAAATTTGTGTCCAATATAATATTTTCATTTTTTGGTCTTGAATGCATAAGTGTATGTATAATATGAATGTACACATATATAAACATATGTTATACCTACTGAAAATTAAAATATCTCCAATCATTATCTTGACATTTTCGACGATAATTTTATGACTAAATACTTTTTAGCTATGTTTAGTTATTTAGCAATAATTATGCCTTTATATTATTTACTTGTAACAGTTTTTAAAATGTAATTCACTCGTATTGAAAACTATATACGAAATTGGTTTCAGCCCTTCCTCCCCAAAAATCGTAAAAAAGATCTTCCCAAAGAATTATTTTTTAAAACACATAATAAATATTCAAAATCTGCTTTTTTTTTTAATCTAATATATCTTTGATGTCTACAATCTATGGGCTACAATACATATATAGATTGATAATAATGATTGATTTGCGTACAATCTAAATTAAAGAGCTGATACTGGGGATGAGAGCAGCCACTGTTGTAGGTCAGAAGTAAGGAAGATAGGATTGATAAGGTTATTTCATTTAAATCTGTAAGTAACGATAAACCATTTCTGACAAAAGACGATTCTGAGCGCAGTTCGGTAATACATAATTTGAAGTGTCGTAATTTTTTTTGCGATTTTCGTTTAAATTTGATTACGAAATGTGAGCATTTTGTTAATTTTTTTAAATCACTACAAATATTTTTAACTGAATTACAACATCTTCGTCTTCTTCTGGTTTTTCATTATGAAATCAATTTGTACGTTTTTCCTACGTTATTTCCCGATTATTATAAAAACTGATTTAAAAATCAAAAAAACGAACTGCACCCTTAAAAATAAGATTAATAATTCAACAAAAAAGGTCTTTTGTCGTTTTTCAATTGGCGCCATATTTGTGCTAGAAAACGTGGTAGGTACTTATTTAAAATAACGAAATTGTGAAAAAATCGTATCTTTTCCCCGGTTAATTGTTTTTATTTTAAATACCGTTTCGAAAATTAAAAAATGACCTATGTATTTACCAAGTAAATCAAATTGAAATTCAGAAAAGATGCTACAATTATACATCGGAGCAAGTTTTATAGGCTAAAAGTTGTCTACAGTATAAAAACAAAATAGTACTATTGTACAAAAATTAAAAAAAGGAAAAAAAATCGTCCGATGATTTTGGAAATTTCACCACGTCTAGGCAAGTCCAATATAAGTATTAATAACATGTTTCAAGTCTCTACGTGTATTTATAACCGAATTGAAACAAAATGCTCCCAAAAATTAAAATTCCTTAAAAGCTCAAAAGTGGCTTAAACGTTTTGGCGATAATACCGTAAGAAAGTAAATCAAAAAACCAACAAAAAAGGTATCTTGTGATTTTTTTATTAAATCATTTTTTTGGGTAGAAAACGTCGTCCGTGTTTTTATAACATAATGAAATTGTGAAATTGTACGCTTTCCTACGTTTATTCCCACTTAAGTGCTTTTATTTAAAAAATTATGTCAACAATTTAAAAAAGACATCTTTTAAGTACAACTTAGACAGCTTGTGCTTTCAGAAAAAGTGTTACACTTATACATCGGAGCAAGCTTACTAGAGAAAATGTGTCCACAGACCAGAAAAAGAAAAAGATAGAAAAAAAATAAACATCTAAGTAAAACCAATAGCTACTCTCCCTCACTACTCTCGGAATCTAAAATTGACTGGCAACCAACAAATATAAATAACAGTCATATTAATTATATTATAACGACTATTATGGCTCGTATAGCTATTAAATAAACGACAATTTAGTAGTTCAAGCGTTTAAAAATATCATCCGCTTGTCGTTTTATTAGGAGGTATATTGTGTGTATGGATTTGACACCGCCTACAGTAAACTAGTATGGTAGGTACTCATACAGTATTAAACTACGCCACCCTATCATAATACAACATTATAATTTAAATCGTACAAATTATACGCCGGGATACAGTTTGCTTAATAGATTCACTTACCAAAGGACCTCGTGAACCAGTTAATCTAAAAACGTACACGCACAATTATTATTATTAACAATCTAATAATCTACCGACATTGTATTATACGTGTATAATGTACCTACCCGCACTCGTCGTTAAACTATATACTATAGTTTAAAAAGCGCAATCTATTTTGTTTTTTTGATTTCAGTAAGTACCATCAAATCTCCGAAGTTTCGATGGGTTAGGGGAGGGGGCGAATTTCAAATGCACGGAGGGTCACGGCCGCATAGACACCAGGTTTTTAAAAATGTAACGGGTGCCCTATATAATAGGTGCCATGGATTTCAAAATCCTTTTCTACCACCAAGAAAGAAATGTCTATATTTCACTTAGAAATAAATGTATAGCTACACATTGTTAATTTTATTACGAAATTACTACTAAATCATAAACAACGTTTAGTAGCACAGAAAAAACCGAACATTTGAAAATATATGATATAATTATCATTTACAATAACTATCGTATCTACAACCACAGAATAGATAACAACCGTAATAATAATGTAATAACTGATAACTACAGTTAATCTGCAATTTACGTTTTATTTTTTTGAAGTTTATAGGTGTCAAATTTTTCAAAAAGTTAAGAATTTTACATTTAGTTAATTTATTTTATATTCATATTCTAAATCTTATTAACATTTAACGAGTGTTTCGTTCCCTAAAAATTTTAGGTACGACGAATGCCTAACCAACCGTCACCCGTGTAAATGGCACTTATAGTTATGATGGTGGGATTCCATTCCTCTCATTGTATCCTAGTTGGAAATGTATCACTCTAATAAAGTCGCAAAAACCCCAAGAACGAGAGGCGATTAACTGACCGTCCCCCTTCCACGATGATTACCATCGATGTACATTGAGTGAAATTATTTAATCGGATCAAATATGACAAAAAATAAGAGAAATAAATTACCTGTATGTATCCATAAAAATACTATACAATAAGTACACTTGATGCACTGATGCGTACAGTTTTGTACAGTTTTCAATTAAAAATATAATCCTCACTACGCTTAGACTCTAAATATAAAAAAAAAATACATGTGTATAATGTCTAAAACAAATTGATTTTAAATACATCATGTTAAAATAGATTCAATTTAATTAAACTTTTTTTTCCTAATGTAATGTCATAATCTGTATAAAATTCGTGGAAAAATCAATTATTGCAGTAAAAAAATTCAAGTCCCATAACCAAAGATATGCTATTGTTCTTGTAAAACCCTACTTCTCCAGAAAATTTTCGAAAAGTTTGCCCTTATTTACATTTTTATATTCATATATAGCTTGTACCAGAACCGCAGAGTATGAAAAATAGTACGTAAAATCAACTATTAAAAATACTAAAAACGAGTTTATTATTCACGTAGGAGTATCGAAATTGCCTATAAAAAACGCCTGGCCACTGCACTGCACGGAAATAAAGGGACAATCAGTTATTTTTAACGAGATAAAACAAAAATCTATTCGACAATAGAGTTAGTTCTATGGCTAAAAACCATTACTGTAAACCGTGGTGCGTGAGAACATCAAACATAATAAGAAGTAAAGCAATCGTTATATTTTTTAATTTGAGTTTTCGAACGAAATCGAGTACCTATCAGATTAAAACGGTATAACAATCACACATATCCACCGGTTGGCCACGAGACGTTATATTATGATGATAATAACTATAATAATAATATGTACCTAAATATGTACATGGTACTTACAGGTGTTATTTTTTTTTTCAGAATTTCCTAACGATGGGTGAAAAAACAAGTAAGAACAATAGCACTCACGATGTGGAAGCTAACGCCCTGTCGGAACAACAACAACAGGTGGAAGCCGTGGCCAAAGCTGTGCACGGACATCCGGTCTCTGAACATCCGACTACGTGAGTAATTTGTCTTAATTTAAATTTGTAAAAATGACATTACACGTTGCCGAAAATAAATTATTTGTTTTAAATTTGTTAATAAACAGAAAAAATAAAATAAAACACATATAGTATTAATAAAACCAATACGCATTCCTCATCGGTAGGTTCGAAATTTAAAATCGATGTAACCTTGTGTTTATTGCAGATACTGCGAAACGTTAATGCATCTCTTAAAAGGCAACATCGGTTGCGGTATGCTGGCCATGGGAGACGCTTTCCGTAACGGAGGTCTCTTGATGGCACCGATCCTTACGGTTTTCATTGGCACCGTATGCATATACAACAATCATATATTGGTAAGTATCTGCAGGTATCTATCAGAATCTGTCCAAAGTGTAATTTTATCTAGTGCATGTAAAATGGCTGGTTGAAGTTCTTCAAGTAATATAACTACATCATGGCGATCGACCCATCGAGTTGCACATAGATTTTTTTAGTTTTAAAACGATTAGTCTGTGGATATACTTCTTCTATTGGCAATTGAACATTTTTTAGATAACCTAAAACGATAACCGATAACCATAGATCTACCTATTATTATAATATACATATTACACTGGACTGGACTAGCATATTATTAATTTGTATTATTTGTGTAAACTGTTAAGTGTAATAACACTTTATTCTTTTTTCAAACTATATATTAGCATTTTTTTTTTATTTCGAAGATATTTCGGGGGAGGGAGTTATAATCCTCTAACCCTCCCCCCAAAATACGCCACTGAACATAATATTATTCGTTCGTGTATTTTTTTTAGGCGGGTACCTAACTACATAATATCATCTATTTTTATTATTATTGTTATTATTACAAAGGTATTTACCCGATACAATTTGTTTTAGTAATTACTTATACGGATATTCGGATTAGACTTCCATCTATAAAAACAAAACAAAACAAAATATTACTTGAATACAGAATATACAATAGTATTTATTTGGTAATTTATTCTTAAAATTTAAAAAGAAAAAAAGTGCAATTAAATTACATGGCCAAGCTTAGTTTATTGAATAAGAGCTGGCTTTTTTAGATTCGACTTTTAAATTCCCACATGTCGGGTTAGAACGATTTTATTATTTACTACTTAGGGTATACCACAGTTCCGAGGATTCGGGAAAGTCGAAACTCGAGAGGTTAAGGTACTCTTAAGCACTTTCATACCGTTTTCCTCGCTAATACTATCAGATGATACAACGACTAGACATGCGTTTTCTGTGGTTCTAGTTAAACGTCGCTCATAAGCTGAAGAGCCGACTGAAACTCGAACATTGCCCAACATTTTCAGAAACGGTCGAACTGTCTTTCGCTACGGGACCCAAGAGCTTACAGAAACACGCGGACGTATTCAGGTGAATATATTATATTTCTTATCGTATAAACGGAATGATTACCAGCAGCATATTATAAGCGTAGTTTTGAAGTTTTAAACAAACTTTTTTTATTCATGATTTATGTACTGATTTTTGTTACTTGACGGTACACTTATTTTCAATATAATGAATTGCATTTAAGTACCTCTTACAATTTTAACATAACTGTCATAATCGTGCATTAAAACGGTTGATTATATTTTAGGACTACGGTCAACGTATTTGTCATTATCACTCAGTTGGGATTTTGTTGCGTATATATATTGTTTGTGTCCAACTCGATCAAACAGGTATGTGTATTTTATTTAGAAGACCAAATATATTTAACCAAGGCAAGCACATCGAATAATGTAACGATAATTTTTGTTTCTCCCGCAGTTTTGCGATGAATACGGTACCGTGTTGGATATTCACATTCATATGATATTCGCGCTGGTGCCTATAATGTCATGCGCCATGATCAGGAATTTGAAATTCATTGCGCCCCTGTCAACGGCCGCCAACATCTCGATGGCTATCGGTCTGGGCATCATTTTGTCGTACTGTCTGGTCGATTTGCCGACCTTGAACTCTCGGACTGCCGTGGCACATTGGTCACAAATACCCCTGTTCTTTGGCACGGCCATTTACGCTTTTGAAGGAATCAGTCTGGTAAATATATATACATAGTACATAATAAAATTGTAATAAAATTTTTCTTCATGGCTATGAAATAGAGGACAGCCAAGTAGAGAATAGGTGTTATCCATGTGTTTATACTGACTAGACATTCGATTATTTTCAACACAACTTTTAACGCGGATAAACTTAATATTCGGATATTATTGATGAGTAAACACTTTATTTTATAAACAATATTTGTTTGATTAGAACAGTTTATATGATTTATTTTTTTTTAGTAATCATGTTAAATAAATACTTAAAAATTAGTTTTCTCATTGATAAGTTTAATGGGGTGACAAAATAAAATTTTCCTAGGGGCGGCAATTGTGTAAATCTATCTCTGATTGGAATATAAATAAATATAATTATATTTCCATAATATGCATTATATATTTAATTTATTTAAGCAGCTAGTTACTAGTAACTAGTTGTTTCAAACTAAGTACCATGTGCTCCAAGCGACTGCTTTCTTCTGTTCACAGGTTTTACCCCTGCAATTGGAAATGAAAACACCTAATAGATTCGCATCAACCATGGGAGTGTTGAACGTGGGTATGACAATTGTAACCTTCATCATTCTGACCATGGGTTTTGTGGGATTCTGGAGATTTGGCGATGAAGTAAAAGGCAGTCTCACTCTTAATCTACCACCCACTCTTATGTAAAAAAAAAATACTACCCAATAATAATAAAATAAACCGCGGTTTTAAAAATTCAATTTTTTTTTCACCAGTCTTTCGAAAATCGTAGTCGGTCTAATGGTTTTTGCGATTATCTGTACTTACACCTTGCAATTTTATGTGCCCGTTGCTATACTATGGCCTTCAGTACAAGAAAAATACGGACCGTTCCAATCGCCCGCTCTGGCCGAGTACCTTTTGCGCGCTCTTCTCGTGTTTGCTACATGTAATATTAAAATATAATATTTAAATAAAATATTACTTTAATCTTTTCCTTTCTTTTGGCAGTTTTGGCGGCCGAAGTGATACCTCATTTAGCGTTGTTTATATCGCTGGTTGGTGCAATCGCTAGTACATTCTTGGCACTGATATTCCCACCCATATGTCATATGGTTGTTTGGAAGGACGAAGGATTCGGTGCATTCAATTGGAAACTATACATGGATATCCTTACCATAGTCTTAGGTCTGCTAGGGTTTGTTACCGGTACATACTTCAGTTTATATGACATTGTGGTTGCCTTCAGCAAAGACTTTGGTCTCCATCATTAATCAAACACGTGTAACTAGTAACTCTATTCACCTAATAAGCTTAGTAATTGCACCGTTACGTTTTTAAATATATAATTATTATTTATTATATTATTATTTTTGAGTTAAGAGTACATTTTTAAGTAACAAATCACATTACAATGCTCCACCAAATTTAGATCAAAGACTTTTAATTTGTTTGTAAATTATTTTTATTTTCAAATAAAATAAATTATTACGTTTTTAATTATTCTAAACAAGTAGCATTTCAAAAATTAACAATACCGTTTACATATACACTGAATACATAAATAACCTGTAGTTACAATATTATAATAACAGAAAATTAATTTAATTGGTTTTCTTCGCGGTTAATTTCTGCTTTGTCGGCGCCGTCATTTGTAGTACTTTCTGCGGTATTTCAGTGAATATGACCGTACCAACAAACACTAAAAGGGTCCCAATCCAATGATACAAGGTGAATGGATTTCTAAAGTACAATATACTAAATAATAAACTGGCAAATTTTCGCAAGGTTATAACCAGCGTTACTGTTAATGACGAACATTCAGTTGTCAAGAAATACACTGAACTTATGCATATATATCTGTGAATCATTTAGTTAAGAAAAATAAAAAGCATAGTATTTTGTTTACTTTATTGTGAATCATCAATCTGTATTCCCTTTTGACTGTTATTGCACTAAAGTAATTAGGAATCTAACAAATTCAACACAAAATCACCGGGTATTAAATTTCAAAAATACAGAATGTACACTGAAGAGCCAAAAGAACTCAATTCTCAAATACATAACAAAATAATCTTAAACCAAAAATAATGAAGTTAGAAGTGATTTCAAGTATTTGTATCTAATGTTTTACAGATACTTTCGTGAATTCTTGTATTAATTATGTAAATTTAAAACACAAAGAATTAAACTTTTAAAATAAAATTGAAAGTCTTAAATTTGTGTTACAGAAAATCAGTTTTGTTCTCAATAATATTCTATCTTTAAGATAATGATAATATGATTAATTGTTCAGTATATATATATTATTTGTAAAATTTTACAAATATATATGTTACCTAACTTATATTTAGTTTTATTTTTAATATTAATTTGATGTGTCTATAAAACATATAGATAAACTGTTTACCTTTAATTTTTAGCGAAAGTATTATTAGACATTATAATACAATCAACACTTTCCTTGAGAATAATACTTTTTTAATAATTTGATCACATTAATTTTGATTTTATATATACCAATTCTTTTGAATAAACCATATATAATTTTGGATAAACCAAGTAAATTTCAATTTGATTAAATTTATTTTTAGTTTAATTATAAATATATTTTATTTTATAATATTAATTATTCCTCAGATACACTTAAATGGGCAAATATCTTTTATTGATTGACAAATAATCTCTTTTGGTTTTATAAAATGTACAATACTTCATGAGTATTATTTTCATAAATATATTCACATATTTATTATAAATGTATTTCCAGGAATTTATTAAGAAAATGTTAAAGAGCATGCAGGATATTTGTATGCCCTTTGAAAAAATAATAAATCATACAAAAGAGATAGAACCCATAGAACCTATATTAGATGAAGTTTAAATGATAATAAATTCTCTAATAAACCTTCAGAAATTACAGAATAAATTTGGATTTAATAAAACTGACAGGCAAAACAATTAACAATTGAAATATACAAAGCTAAAAAATAATGTAAGGACCAGAGAAAAAAATACCAATATATTGAAAGATGGCAAACATCTAACCTATCTTCAAGAAGGAAGATCTGTCAATTTTGAAAACTATTATGAAATACCTCTTTTAGACACAACCTACAAGGTTCTATAAGATTCTAGAAAAATACAAAACAGATATTATTGGGGAATACCAAAGTGGATTCATATGAGGGAAATCAACTACATATCATATATTCAATAAATATAAAATTACATAAAACTACTGTGAATATAATAGTGAACTCAACATGATTTTTGTTGATTTTTAAACAAGCTAACAATAAGGATAAATTATGGCCTGCATTGGTTAGTCTAGATATCTCAAATAAAATAATACAAATAATAAATATTACGGGAGGTGTTCAAAATCTCGACAGAGTCAAAATTCCCACAGTTACAATCCCAACAAGGTCAAAATCCCGACAAAGTTAAAATTCCAATAGACAATATCACACAGAATTCACAAACATGATTATCAACATCCTGAGATTGTATAAGTGATTACCTAATTATGTCCCTTAAATTTATACTAGTTATCAATTTGTAAAAAAAAAAAATCAAGTTATTTTTATTAAATTTGTAATTAATACAATAAAATTAATACATTGAATAACCCAAAGCATTAAAAATAAAGTGCATATTTTACATATAAAAAATATATAAATATTACAAAGAAAGGACCATTTAATATTGTACTGTATGTGACTGTCGGTATTTTGACCTGAACACAAATACAATCATGTAATTCAGTGGTAATATATATAAATAAATATCAATAAATAAATAATATATAGGTCTCATAATCAACAAAACAAAAACATAATACATGCGAATGGCATGCTCATTAAAAATTTAATAATCGGACCATACACATTTAAACAGGTCGATAATTTAAAATACTTAGGAGTGAACAATAAGATAAATATGTACAATGAAGTTAAAGTCAAGATTAACTTGATGAATTATGCATATTTTTCATTGAAAAAATTGTTAAGTTTAAGGCTGCAAAGGAAAAAACGTATTTATTTATGCACAAACATTAAAATGGTAGACGAAACGGTAAAACTCAAAAATGCCATGATAAATGGAGAAATGGAGGGACTTAATAGAAGCTGTAAAAAGCCTCGGTAGACAGCAAAATCAAAGAAATATATGTATTCTCAATAATTTTTAAAAATCCAACTATAACACTACACACATTAAGTCTATACAAATTATTGTAGTTATTGAAATTGTTCAATAGGTTTTCAAATATTTGTAAATATTGTACCATAGGTTATCAAATTGTTGGTAAGTAGCACATTAGATAAGTAGCTTAAATTATCATTTGTCATTATATACAAATATTTAAATTAAAAAAATTTAATTATCAAAGGATACTGTGTGAAAACATTACCAATAAGGTAGACAATAGTACTTGGTAAACCAAATCCAATGTACAGAAGTGGTTCACTTTCAAAAGCCATTAGTGTATGTTCTTTAAGATTGGAGTACAGACACAGGAACCATGGCAGTGGTATTAAATGCTAGAAAATAAAACAAAATTATTTTATAAAACAGCACTGTAATTAACAAGTTATAAATTCTAGATGATGTCTGTACAAGAAAATTAATTGTCTGTAATCAATAGAAGTACAACATTGAAATGTGTTATGTGTACGGAAATGTTTTTTCTGAGTTAAGTATCACTGATAGACCTCATAGAGTTCCAAAAAAAAAAGATGTCTAAGGATAATGAGGACGGGTGCAGCCACTATTATAGATAATTTAATGTATACCTGTTAGCAATGATTAAACATTGCTAAATGAAAAAACGATTCTGAGTGGAGTTCAGTCGATAGTGATGCTTTATCAACAAGATATATATATATATATATATCATATTACAGAAAAATAATTAAATAAGCATTATATATTATCTTTAATAAAAAATTTTAATACACTGATTTTCTCGTTTTTCCCATATTTTTCAGTTTATTATATTTGTTGAGAAAAATTCCAGAGAAAATTGAAAAATTACCTCTTTAAAGTACCTCCTCACACAGATTTCCTTTCAGAAAAGGTGATACACAAAAAAATCAGAGCAAATCCTCTGGTAGAAAAGTTGTTTATAGAAAAAAAAATAAACACATTTTTACAATCATAAGCTTCTTCGTTCCACTCAGAATCTAAAATAATATATTTACACAATATTAGTGTTCGAAATAATACTAATACAACTCCACAAAATTTATAAAAGTATAATACAGCATACAAGTTTAGTTCTTCAATATTACTATTTTCTGTCCACTAATTTGAATTTAAATTAAAATATACAAATACAGATTGAAATATTAAAATTTTCCAATAAATAGTTCAATGTTCTAAAACTATGAATTTGAAATTTACAAATATATTAATTTATAATGGTTTTTATCGTAAATATTGTTTGAATAATATCGATTTTATCAAAATATAACTAAGAATACCTATATACTTACAGTATAAAATAACGCTTCTTGTGGGTGTTTACCATGTTCTTTGTATAATGTTTCTTGGTATATACCCATACGTGCAGAAATAAATAATGCAATGGTCAAACACGCAATTCCTTAAAAATGATTTCCAATTAATATTTTATAATCATTAAAACAATACCAAAATAATTAACCATTGTGTTTACATTCAAAGAATTAAATCTAGCTTATTTTTTTTAGATTAGTTGAATACAAAAGTTCATACCTAAGCACCACCAAAAGAAATCTTCCAATTCAGATGTATTTTGTACAACACCGTGTACAACAGTTTTTTTCTATAAAAAATGTATATTTTAGATTGAAGTAACAATTTTATTAATGAACAATCACTTACAACATCTTGACTTGATACAATTGTGCATATTGAAATGCCAGCTGTTATCATGCCCACAGAAATAATTTTGTCAAGCGTGTACTTTTTTTTCAAAATAATTATTCCCATAATCATATTTGCTATTAATGAGCCCTGAAAAGTAAAAGTTTTGATACATGTTAATACAAGTTTTGATGATATACAAATAACTATTTTTTTTTTAGCAGAACTTGGATTGTAAAATCTTTTTTTTTAAATTTATATTTATTAGAAAAATGTTTTTATATTCGTTTTAATATTAAATAGATTTACTCATAAAAACAAAAATAAAATAAGTAATGTTTTATAAAAACTACAGATCTAAAATATATTCCATAATCATAGCCAGATAAACAAATTAAATTTGTATGCGCTCATAAGAATATTTTTATTTATTTATTCATATTTTATATTCTTTCATAATATGCATTACTATTATTTTTTTTTTAAATATAATGTTTCATAAAAATTTATAAAATAGTGAAAAATAAAAGTTACATTTATACAAATTTAAAAAAGTATTAAATTAATTTTAATTTTTGGAAAAAAATGTACAATTTATAAGAAATTTTATCCCAAAAATAGTTTATCATTGGCTTCGGTGTCATGCATCTAAATAAAACTTCTGCATTAACATATTTTTCAACACTATAGTAGTTTCAAATAAAATATATTTAACACTTTAGAAATTTTATAGAAATTGTATTGGTCTATATTCTATGCTTAAAATAAACATACCGCTCTGAAGATCATATGAAGTGGCATAGCAATGTTCAAATCAAATGCATAATTGTTTAAAACATTAGTTACAAAAAACATTGCAACCAATACCATGTATCCTCTGCAATTTTTTAAAACATAAATTAATTAATAACATTACAAATGTCAAATAAATATTTCTGTAGTTTGGTTCAAGAATAGCCAAATTTCAAAAAATAAAATTATTGGGAAATTACATTTTAAAATTGTTAAAAGGAATAAATGCTGTTTCCGTTTAGTAATATAGCCATCAAATTTCCAAATGTTTACATTAAATCTATAATATAATTAAATTACATTACTTTTTACATTAATCTTTGCAACAATCACATACTTTAACAAATAATTTAAACATAAATGTATTTTTGGAAATGTTCTAGTTGTTCAACAAGAATTTCTATAATTTATTTAGACTTAATTAAAGATTAAATTTACAATCATGTAAATTACCATTATAATATAAAGACTGTTTCATGTCTGTACGTTTTTATACGCTTCAAATGGAATATTATCCAAAATAAAAAATAGTTCACATATAATATGTAGTACCTATATGGAAACAAGAATAGATAATACACATAATTTGAATGCATACAAAATTACACCATCCAAAGATTCAATAAAAATAATTATTTTTGAAAGAAAATAATTATCTATAGTAAATACATTATTTATTGCTTGGTACTTAAATATTTCATATTTAGTGATAAATGAATATAATAAAATATTTAGTTCAGTTATTCAGTTAAATATAAAAATTTTGTTAATTCCTATACTCTTGCTAATCATAAGTTGTTATAATATAATATAATATTTTATTAATAACATACTTGACACTGATACTTGGTTTTTTGGTACCAAATTTTGCAGTAAATATAAATCCTTGTAGTGCAATTAGAAAAAATTGAGAAAAAGTAATTAAATTACCTATCCCAGGATCTTGTCTAAAATATAAAAATTATACAACCATTAGTTTAAAAAATAAGTTTTATAGGTAGATGATTATAATATTTCAAAGTACGTACTTGACTAAAAGTTCCAAAAAGACAACATTACTCATACAACCAAAAAACGTAGATCCAATTGCTACCGGTACACTCATTTTAAAAGATTGAAATTTACGTCAAATGTAAAATTGTTTATTTTATTTGATACTTGTGGTACCTAAATAAGTTGTTTTTTTTTTTTTGAATTTTAACGCTAACGTGACATTGGTAGGTAAGTAACTGTAATAATGACTAGCCCCAAGTGTAGCTAGTCGTAATACAAACAGAAACGGCTTATTTTTTTTTTTACCTAGGTACCTACCTACTAAGGTTTAATCACTGCAACTAGTAATTACGTAAATGATTATACACAAACTGCTTCATGGCCATTTAAATTTAGGTGTACTGTAATGAATAGACGTAACCAAATATTATGATGGGTTAAAAAAAAAAATGCAATAATTTTTAATTTTTCTTTTTACAATATTCAGTGATAATAAACGACGAAAAGATAAGGATAACCGAAACCGAGTAGTGTTGATTATGTTTTCCATAATAATATTATTGAATAATATCTTTACACAAGTACCTAGATAGCGCGTTGTGTTGAAGTTAGTACCTTTTGAACGATCATTTATTCGTACATGCTTATATTTTTATTTTATTGGTACTACGCAAAATCGAGTTTTTATAATATTATAATGGGTACCTACGGATTCCATAATGCATGATTCGGTGTCATACCACATTACATATTCTTATAGTTAGGTTAGAGTAACCTACTTTATCCCTGAGACCCTAGTCCGCGGGCATCTACTACAGTTTTTCGATACGAACGTCTAGAGACAGCCCACGAGCAAATTCCTTATCAATTACAATATAATATTTTTCATCAAATAACCTGCACCCGTGTTTGCGTACATTATTTTATTTTCATGTACATGTCACATAAATAATATATGTAAACATATTCATGCTGTGAAAATTAATTTGTCAGATGACAATGATATTAACGCCAAAAATGATTATACTAACCCAATGAATACGGGTGAAATTTGTATAAAAATGTCTGATATACAGCATATTATTGCTCCATATGCAAACAAAATTCAGCAATTTCATAGCATGTTTATAATGATAAGAAATATTTCAATTATAATTGACAAAGAATTTGCTCGAATTCGGAAATCCATTTGATTATTATAGACGACCTTTGTGTAGTAGTGGGCTACCCAAATCAGGAAAATATAACAAGAATTATAAATACAGGAAAGTTAATACTTATCAAGAGAGATATTCCGTGAAAAAATAAAAATTGGGAAAATAATAAACAGAAATTTAAAAATCAAAAATGTAAAAATTGTATATTAGAATTTATTACTTAGATATAAGTACTGCACTAGTGCAGTTCATGATCATGAATTTCAAGTACCTAACTCCACGAAATATTTTGAACGGATAATCTTGTTAAATTATTATGATTCATTGTTATTACACTGTACTTATAATTAACAAACAATTTTTGAATTACTTAATTTTCTCGATTTTTATTTTCCCGTGTAATATCATTTCTGAAAATAATATTTTCCTTCATTAAAATGTAGGTATTCCTTGTGTTTATTTTTACGTTCCTGTTTCTGTGTTATAAGCATAGAGTAATATTTCTCTATGGTTTTAAGTGCCCCTCCCCTTTGAGCTGTTAAGAGTGGTAACCTATAACCATAGAGTACCAGCCAACTCAATGGCGGTAATTCGGCCGGGACCGAAACTCCAGTTTGAAAATAAACGTTTCCAAATAACCAATCAAGATGTGATAGTTGTATTAAGGTAGGTTGGTGTTATATGTTATAACGACCTCGGTACTGATTACAGTGGAACACGTAAACATAAAAATAATTAGGTAACCTACCTATCTAGGTATCTATATTTTGATAGGTATATACCTAGGAACTATTAATTTTTCGATTTTTCGAAACATTACATTTTAATAGATTGCTGTAAAAAAAAAGAAATATTATTGTTTGATCAGTGCACGTGTGTGAAGTGAATCAATGGCGGATCGAAGTATTTTTACTTTGAATCATCGATCATTATACTCGCCCACTCGCACACTCCGACCCAAAAATACCTCCCCCCCCACATCACAAATGTGGTGAAATGTGTTAAATTTCAATAATATTCGTTAAATTGCAATAAAATTTGACAAATGTATCAAATGTCCGCAGTCTGAAATTCCGTAAACGGCTTGTTTTATTAAAAACGTAATAACTTTTCACAATTGTCATATTCATGAACACTCATGACCCACCCACACGGTTTTTATTTAATCACGTGATTTAATAACATTATGCGGGCCGCCACCGAAGTGAATTACATACCAAGTACCACAATAATTGTCAGCAGATATCTACATTTTTAAAAGTACTGTTTATCATACATACAGGTATAGACGGAGTGGGTAATTTACTCGATTTTGTATTTGAAATTAGTCATCAATCGTTATTGTTCGCCGCTAATACCGGGTATTCGGTACGCGGGAATATGTATAACGCATTGTTGTTTTTCTCAGTTTCCCTTCGCCTCCATTCCGAGTATTTGTGGGACCGTACTCGGGTTGGGTACACAGTACGCAGGTACCCTAACCTGTGACGGTAGATATTTAATTTTTGTTTCTCGACAAAAACGAAAAAAAACTATTGATATAATGTTACTACACGAGTTCTTAAAATATAAAAGACCGATGTCCTCTGTTAACGTTTTCCGTACGATAAAACAAACCGGTTTTGAACGTAGCCACCAAAATTGTAGGCACAATTACGTTACCTACCCGGTAAATAACCACACAGGTAGACACTTGGTATTTAAACTATGCGCTCGTTGTATCAGTTAAGCGACGCGGTGACGCGTATATATTATGTTTACTTTTGGTTTGAATAATAATAAAATCGAGATTCGAGACCGTGTCGGCGGCGTGCTCCAAACGTTTAGTGAACGTACATGACTATATCCGGTACGATATAACAGTGGACTTTCATATCACGAGAATTACCGTCTTTAGGCATTGTTGATCCCCGAGGGCGAAGATTTGAATTTCACGAAAACTACGACAAATTAGAGTTGACTACATGGGAGCTGGTCGAAAACGGTGTTTTATTATGGATGGAATTTACCGGGGGGTGGGGGGGGTATCTTGCTAACAATATTCTCCCGCGAGTATTTGCGTAAACAGATTGATCGTAAAATTAAGAAATTTGCTAAAGTAAACCGGTTTGTGCAGTGGCGCGAATAATATTGCCGTCGGAGAGGGAGGGGATAAGGATAATTTTTGAGAATTGTCGACGCGTTCGTCGGGCGCGGGGGGTTTTTTCGTTTCGTTTTGGTGCGCGCCACGGACCGCCGGTCTGCATCACGAACGAAGAACCCGATCCGTGGCCTGTATTCAATTTTCACATAGTTTTTTGCTGTCGCATACTAATTGCCGAATGACATTCTGCGAACATTGCCGTTTTCCGATAAAATTTCGAATTATTCAAATTGTTTCGAGAGTTGTTGTGACCATCTAATTACTACAACCAGTATAAATGCAAATTTTATTTTGTTCCAAAATTTACGTACGGCGCGCTATCGCACAGCCGCGCCTCGGCACGAGCAGCCGTTGACAAGTGGGGGAGGTACCCAATGTCGAAAATGTCGCTTTCCACTACGCGCAATAAAAATTAAGCAAACGTTAGAATTGCCCACGACGAACGATTGTACGACCGTAATCATTGTATACATTAAGCAAAATGTATATGTTATACACGCTTGCGGAATGTCGGTAGGCGACCCCCCCTCCCCTCCACCTCCCACCGCCTATTATCAAAATAAATGAATCCGACGGACGTGGGTCGAAAAAAGGTTTTTGCTCACCACCGCTCCGAGGAATAAACGCCTCACGAAGCACCGACATTGGCCGACCGAACGCGGAGACGCGGTGATGGCACGGGTGGCGATTATTTTTTCTCGCGGACGGAAGAAACGTTTCGGCCGGGTCAATGGGCAAAAGGTACACGCGACTACCCGGGTGTCCGCGCATCAATTGTCGAACGAATCGTACCCGTATTTTATTTTTTTTTTCGTATCCGTTTTACACAATAAACGCAATGCGTTTGGGACGCGGACTACGCGTGTTATCGCAGCGGGTAGCGACGAGATACGCCGGCCGCGGGCCCGTCGACAGTGCGGTTCGTAGTGCGTAGGTTGTTGTGGCCCACGAGTGGTCGCTATTGGTAACGATTTGCGTTCGTGGTAATCGCACAATAGCGCGATAATAATAACGAACTGTCCGAGTAATGTTATGGCATGTCGATATTCGTAGTAATGCGGTTAGAGGTGTCTGTATAGTATCAACGTGGATTAAAAAAAAATATGTCGTAATATTCGAATAAATGATAAAACGGTGCGATTACATCACCACACCACGGCGTGGTATAAACGCGCAGCGATTATGCGTTTTATTTATTTGTTCGTTTTATTTCGTACGGAGCGAATTCCGTTTTTTTATAAATACATCGCGGTATCCAAACGCAAGGTACACATCATTGTACCGTATCAAAACAGCGCAATATAATTGACATTAAATAATAATAATAAAACGTAACAAACAAATACGTAAAAATAATCCACTTATCGGTATAGCAATCAATTACACAAACACGTCTAATAACGTCAAATAACATTCAAAATCCTTAACCTTAACAATAGAACATGTACTCTTTGGAGACATTTACAAATGTCTTTAGGTATTGACTCAATAGTCAAAAGTATCATATCGATTAGCGTGATATGAAAGACCATGTTTATAAATTTAACGTCGTTTATATCGTTTCAATCATCATCCCTTCGTGTCATTGTTGATGTATCCGGAGAAAAAAAATAATTGATGCTTTTTCCAGCCTCCATCAAAGTATTAGCTGGGGAAGAAAATAAATATTTAGCTTAAACATTATTAATCAAAAAAAAAAATAAAAAAATCGGTCTTTATTTCTTTTCGTTTTTTGTAATTTATTTTTTCTGGCGATTGAGGGCAATGTGCCATATTATATATTAATTTATTAAGGAATGTTATATTGAAGTACTGTCTGCGAGTTTTTAGATTAGAAATATTGAAAAAACCTAAGACACCGTCATAAGACGAATGAGTAGGTCTCTGAACATTACATTTATAAGAAATGAACGTAGAAAAGAATTTTGTATTGATTCTAAGTGTTATATAGGAACAATGTTATTCGGAGACCAAATAAAAGAAGCATATTCTAGATTGGAACGTACCAAAGAATTATAAATATTTATAAGAACGTGAGAGAAAAGAGTTACTAAATTTTGAACAGCCGCGCTTTAAAAAGGCTAATTTTTAAATCGCTTTCTTATTTTATCAATATGATAATTGAAATGTATCTAATCTCACGTCGGTACAAATGACCGAATCATTAATAACAAATACACGTTTGATAGCAGAATTACGTACAATCATGCAGTGTATTATTTATTTATTATTATTTTTTTTTTTTTGTTTAATAAGAAAATGATATTACAGCGCATTTATTAATATTAAATTGCGTATCATTTTGAACGCACCGTCCACGAAAACAATTTAAATCAGATTGTAAAGTTTTGATCGTAGACACATCGACTGTTAATACGTCCGTGGTTTTCATCATCTAGCCAGCTGCCGACATGCCGGTTAGTGTGTAAGGCAGCTGGTACGCGAGTCACGTTGGGTATTTCATTGTTCAGATCACGGTTTACGATCCCGCTGTGCCGCCGTAACGTTCGAATGTTTAAAAGACCGTTGCAGTTATAGGTTATCCGGGGTGGTACGGCATAGCGTCGGTGTCGCGTCGGTAAACTACAATTTTCGCCGCTGGGCGCGCAGTTCGGTTGACGGCTTGGCGACTTGTCGTTATACGGATTGCCGCGCATTTCTGTTGTGGCGTCCGCCCGCCGTTGTTTGTCCGTCCCGTTTGCGGTCGTTTGTACGTCTCTCTTTTTTTTTTTTTTTTTTTTTTTTTTTTTTTTTTTTTTTCGGTTGGACGTGCCATTCGGCTCGACATATCAACAGGTAAGTGAGTCACGCGGCATAGTAGCTGTATATTTTTTGTTACTTTCATAGGTTTCTAAGCTGATTTTTTCGTTCGATTGCTTAACAGGTATTTTGTCGACGGTACCTTCCTTGTTTTTAAAATGTTTATTAAAATCCGTTCAGTTGGCCTGGAGGAAAAAAACAACACATTCGAAGTGTCGAGAACTTTAAAAGTTCTAGATTTAAAACAAATCATTTGTCAACGGCTGAAAATCGAACCGGACGTACAACGTTTGTTTTTCTGCGGAAAACAGGTAAAAACAACCGCTACGACTGCACCATTCAATTGTGTTTGGGTCTCGTGCGCCCAAAATGCCTATAAATATAGTTATGGTTAAGTTTACTCATTGCTGTGTACTATGTGTGCGTCACTATTATTGTTAAATGTGTTTGGCATTGGCGTTCGCAATATTTTAGCAAAAAGCTATTTTCAACAGTTGTAACTTTTATTGATTCATTGATTCACCCGTTCATGAAGTTTAGAATAATGGTTTCTAGAAAGCGTGTTTATTATGGCTTTACCCAATTGCTTGCCCTAACAAAAAAGTGAGACCTTTTTCGTTAGGGCAGGCTAAATATATGTAGGTACATGATTAACAATATTTACTACCTACATCTTTCAATGAAATTGCTAATGCAATAACATGCAGCGATATATAGACAATTGAATTTAATCGGCATTTCACTATCCTAAATTATTCAATATTCATTATTATTATGTTGAATTAATTTCAATTTAGTTCCTATGAATTGTATTAAATAAATGATTACCTAACAATCAGAAAAAAAAAAATTAATATCAATGGGGAGCGCGTAAAATATTGGAAAATATTTTGTCGGAACTGTATATTTCAGAAAATAATTGTTACCCAACGACAATAATATGCAATCACGTAGTGCTTATGATGGAATTATGCTAAACAGTTACGACAAAATACTTTTCAATGAATTATTTTTCTAACAAAATACTTTCTAACGAATTATAGGCCTCTATATTAATGTTACAAGGGTATTAATTAATAGGGTAATGGTATCTTTGACAATTTAATAGTTATATTGTGAATATTTGAATCAATGTATTTTATTATAACACCAAATTAAGTCTTAAACTATTTAATGCAATTTTTTTTTCTATAGAACCATTAATTGTATTTTTATGAATTAGGATAAACAATTCTATTTTTTGGCATAAAAAGCCAATGTATAGCCAATGAATGTACCAATTTCTGGCCCTTTTTTAAATTATTAAATTAATATTATTTTGTTTTTGAAGATAGCAACAAGATCCCTACATAATTTTAAATACTAATAATTTGTTATATTGATTTTCTCAGTCTCATGAAAAAGGTACATGTTTTTTCGTCTGTCGCTGCACATTTTCCATCACTTTTGTCTGTCTGGTTAGAATATTACGCGGTAAGAAGTGGGAGTAATTCGGCCTTTGTGCTCTCGCTAATGCACAGACCGTGTACCTTCTCTTATGAGATTGAGTATAATTGATAAACACTAATTTAATTTTAATTCTGGATCTTAACGTATGTAATATATTAATTGTCAACGGCATGTAACTGCCAAAAACTGGTACTATTACTATATAGGTATCTGTAATAGGCATCTTAACCAATATAAGTTGATATTTTTTAGAGTTAATAGACAAAACAAATATTTTTAAGAGTTTGAATTTATTGTTGCATAGTTGTATAAAAAAACATCATTTGAAAATAGTATCTATTCAATATTAATATATTTAGAGGAGATGATGTATGATATGTTTTTTCCTTCAATAAATATTTGATCGTGTGTTAAAATTCTAAAATTGTATAATCTAAGATAGTTAAGTAATTTTTGATTAGATAATTTAAATATAAATTATTTTTATAATTTAAAGAAAAAATTTAAGAGTATTTTAATAATATGGTTTATGTATGTACCCAATGTACCAAAATAATTCATATTTATCCAAAGTATAACAAGGACTGCACCTTTTTTTTCTTTTAAATAACTAATATGTAAAACATTTCATTATTCCAATTGTGCTTCCGTTTAAAGCTGATTATATTCAATTCATAAATTATAATCAAATTATATTTCATACATAAACTATAATCGGTTATATTTGATACATAAATTGTAATTATTGATACTATTAAAATCTATTAATAATCAACCTAGATTATATTTATATTTATTTATAAATACCCGGTGAGTATATTATGCGGAAAAAAATACATACATACAAGGTAATATAGTTATTTGTAAAATTAAAAATATCCTCTCTGCTCTACATGTAAACCTACATTTAGACAAATTATGGAATGATTTTAGTTAAGGGACATAGTGATTTTTGAAAAAAGAAAACCCATACTTCTTAATTTTCTTTGCTTGAACTGTAAAAGAAAAAAAAACATGCCTGAACCTTTTCTATTTGCTATATGTATGTCTCTTTGAGTATAAACTAACCATATTATTGTAGGTATATACCATTATAAGGTATTAGGCTTGGTCAAAGTCTGATGTATTACAGCAGATAAAATCTAACTACTTATGTAATTGTAAAATGCTCTGCAAGTAATGAGTTTAATCAATGTTATTATTAAAAGATTATAAAAGATCAAAAATCTAAATCCCAAGTTTCCTGCCTACTCTACCAAGTGATTCATTTAAGTGGGTACATTCATTATCTTAAAAGTATTAACTTTTTTTGGAATTTGTTTTCTAAAACATTTAAGAAACAAGCTGCTCTACAATTTTATATTTGTGTTATTTTTTTCACCATTATTTTTGGGGGTAAAACCACTATCTACATTTGATTTTCAAAAGGCAACCTATATTAAAAAATCCATAAATAGATTGAGTATTATTTAAAAAAAAATTTGATTGTTAAAATTTTTAATTTCTGTCTAGCTGTTGACGAGATATTCTACTTTTAAGTTTAGGTTTGAGGGGAGTAGTGGTGTATTATTAACATGCCGTGCGTAGTACCGCCACACAAATGATTTAGTATTATTAAAAATGTAAAACATATTACCCATACAATTAAAGTTAAAATTATGTATTTGTACCTGTTAAACATTTATGAATTATTACGTTTTAGTTGGAGAATAATTATACATTATTTGACTATAACATTAACCAAACCTCGGTCATTCAATTGGTGGTTAGAGAACCACCTGTCAATCAAAGTGGTATTGAGAAAAAATCTTTACCTAATAGTACGGAAGAAGAGCCATGCTGCTCTTCAGCTACCAGTTCAACAAGTGATGTAATAAATATTTATACAGAAGTAAATTTATAATTCACTATAAAATATGATTTTGTTTTTATAGGAAAGAACAGAAGATAAGTCTGAGGAAAGTTGTTATTTTAAAATTGGAGATTATGTTGATGTAAAAGATAGTGATTGCGGATTTTGGTTAATTGGAAAATTACTCAAGATAAAAAAAGATACTAAAACTGTTAACTTACAGGATCCTAATAGTCCAGTGCAAAATGATGGACTTATATACGTTGTTGGGTTCTATCAGTGTGTTTTTACTTTTTAGATTTTACAAATAAATATTGTTTTATGTAATACAAATATGTATCTTATATGTTTACTTAGGGTTTCTGAAACTACTGAAGTAAATTTACAAGCAATCAGACCACATGCTTCGGAAAAAATTGATTTTGGCAGGGTGACGCCTGGCAATAAGTTGCTTATGAACTATAATATAGAATATCCAAAAGAACGCGGCTATTGGTATGATGTAATAGTAAAAGAGGTAAAAACTTCTAGGAGATGCAATGAAGTCATTGGGGATATAATTGTTGGAATTGGTAAAGCTGTATTAAAGAATTGCCATTTGACATTTGTGGATGAAATTTATACATTAAAACCCTATACGCTACTTGTAAATAGGACCTCAGAAGATGATAAAATGATGCAAATGGAGCCAGTTATGAGTAATTATTTTGATAATTAGATTACATATTATCAATTGTAAAATATCTTCAAAGCTTTTACTATGTACAATTTTTGCTGCTTACACACATGTCTACAGTCTGCTTTATTCAATTGGGTGATTTTTGCAAGACTTAATTTTATCTATCTTGTGTATATTTGGCTTTCAGTCCTAATTTGCCTCAGTCTCTGTTAAAATTTGTTAGTAATATTTTTCAATCTCCATATAAGGTAGGTCCATTATAATCTTGCTTTTCAAATATTCATTGATAATGGGTATTTCTTAATTTCTTAGTTTTTTCATTTTATTAGACTTATTTCCTTTGGTTACTGACCAATTAAAAGTTATTTGATTGACTTCTTTATAGGAGTTGAAACTTAAGGCGCCCAGTAGTTTTTTTTGTTCAGAAAAATATATTCTATTAAAAAAGTGATACACTTCAGTAAAATCTGCCAATTTTTTTTAAAATGTATTGTTGAAAATATTCTTAAGACCATGTTGAACTTGGTTGTTCAATTTTTTATTCTCAATATTTAAAATAATATAATATAAATTTTTTTCCATTATTTGAAATCTGAATTTAAAAAAAAAAAACAGTTCAATGCAATTTGTAGAATTTTTTTGTTTATCAATATTCAAAAATGTTTATGAAAACATTGAATTTACAATGAGTTATTATTATTTCTGCGAAGTAATTTTTTTCAGTAAAAACTGCATCATCATTTCTCCCTAAATAGTAGTAGATCGGTTGGAAAATCTTATATTTAAGATGGTAATTAAAATTTTATAATGTTAAAATGTATAATTTCCCATGATTCCAATAACAATTGAAAAAAATTGAATATTAAAATTGATTTTTTTAATATAGGAGCTGCTCCTTTGTATTGTATTGCTTGCAAGGATAATTTAAAGAAATGTTGTAAAGAATGTGGTTGTCGCATTTGTGGTGGCAAGGACAATGAAGACCGTCAAATAATGTGTGATGAATGTGATCATCCGTATCACATGTTGTGTCTTGATCCACCTATGGAGGCAATTCCTGAAGACGACAATTGGTTAGTGAATTTTTAATATTATGTTTACAATTGTTTATTTAGTGAGGTGAATATAAATTATAATATGTCTCAGGTACTGTCCTACTTGTAAAACTGATGAAAATATTATTGTTGGAGCTGGACAAGAATTAAAAAATGTAAAGATAAAGAAATCTAACTCGAATCGTGATTGGGGTAAGGGTTATGCATGTGTTGGTAGAGCAAAAATATGCAATATTGTACCAATACACCATTTTGGTCCTATTCCCGGTATTGAAGTTGGGACTTCTTGGCTTTTTCGGTTGCAAGTAAGTTTTGGAAAAACCATTGCTTGAACATATTAAATTGTAAAATTTATACCACTATTACTTAGGCATCGGAAAGCGGTGTTCATCGTCCTTCTGTGGGAGGAATACACGGTCGAGATAAAGTTGGAGCTTTTAGTATCGTCTTTAGTGGGGGATATGAAGACGATGTTGACTATGGTGAAGAGTTTTTGTATACTGGTTCTGGTGGGAGGCAATTAAAAACTGAAAACAAACGAACGGCAAATCAAAGTTTTGACCAAGAACTAACACGGTCTAACAGGTATTACTGACAATATTACTGAAAATTATTAATCACCTTGTTTGAATATATGTAATTATTAAAATACTTATTTGTAGAGCATTAGCAATAAATTGCAATGCAGAATTGGATGACGTAAATGGAGCTGAAGCAAAGAATTGGAAAGAAGGCAAACCTGTGAGAGTTTTAAGGAGTAGTAGATCAAAACACTCAAAATTTGCTCCAGAGTTGGGATATAGGTAGGAATCAAAAGTTTTAAGAATTTTTTTTATATGTAAAGCTTTTTTCATCGTTTTCATCCAAATTATTTGAGGGGTTGGCCACCTACAGTAAAAACTTCCACTTGATCAATCTTTTTATTGTAAAATTATAATAATAATTTAAATTGTGCAAACAAACAATAATATTTTAAAAACCAACATTATATAATTAGAAATAACAATGAAACCTGATTTTTTAAAATTTACCCCTATTTTATAGGTATGATGGTATTTACAAAGTTGTAAAGTACTACCCAGCACGTGGGTTATCTGGTTTCAATGTATGGCGGTTTGTATTAAGGCGGGATGATATAGTACCGGCTCCATGGACTAAAAAAGGGAAAGAAAGGATAATTAAACATAATCTTAAAATAATCGTAAGTCGTGTTAAAAAAAAATTATAATTTAAATTAGGCATATTAAATATTATTTTAATGTAATTTGTATAAGTATCCTGAAAATTATGAAGAAAAAATATCAAGTTCTAAAGGGAAAAGGGCCTTAACAGAAAATTTTGAAAGTAATGAGCCTAAAAGCGGTCCATCAAAAATAGAAGGCAATACGGGTAGGATGAATAAGAAGATTAGAATTACATATGAACTTGAACCAGAATTAAAAGATCTTATTGCATCTGATACAGTAAATAAAAAATATTGGGTTGAATGTAAGGATGTTTTGGTTAATGGAAAAAAAGTAAGTATTCTATTTACTTATTTTTCTTGTAACTACATTAATGGGTTTTGTTCATTTGCTATTATAAATGTTGTGTAGGTATTTTTGGAGAAAGTAGAAGAAACTTTTAAGTGTGCGTGTTGTCAAGATATTGTTTTTAACCCAATAACAACAAAGTGCAAACACAATATTTGCAAAGTAAGTAATAAACATGCAATTTTTTTCTTTAATTTTTATTAAATAAAAGACTGACATACTTTGCATGATTTATTGAGTCAGTTGTCAGTGTGTAGTAGGGAAGGAATCCCTTCTAGATATAGAAGGGAAGTTAATGTTTATTTTTACGCGTTGATTAATTATTAATTATCTTTTGTATTAGTAATAACTAATACAAAAGATTCTGAGCAAAGTTCAGTTAAATGTGTTTTGAAAGTCTGTAATATTTACTATTTTCTTCAAATTTAACATTAAAATAATAAAAATAAAAATTCTGTATTACACTCAATTTTTATTTTATCACAAAACACTACTTATAATGAATCCTTTGTTAAATTTTCAAACTTTTCTGTGTGATCTAACAATTTTATCCATAGAGCAACTACCAAAACTATGATCATTTTAAACGGAATTGCAACAAAAAACTTAACTGAATTAAATACATTTTGTAAATTTTCTTCCCGGTTTTTTGTATTTGTTAAAAAAATTTCTTGACAAATCATATATCCTGCTCACAGAAAAATAAAATAAATATATTTATCTCTTTGCTCAGAATCGAATTCAGTAGGTACAATTTAATATTAATTTTTTTTTTTTTTTTAGAATTGTCTACAAAGGTCATTTGCCCTTAAAGTGTTTCAATGTCCATGGTGTAGAACTGATCTGGACAAGAATTGCTCCATGAACGTAAACAAAAAATTGGCTAGCACATTGTTGTTCTTATTCCCAGGATATAACACAGATCGTTAATAAGCTTTTAACTATAAAATACCTTTGATTGATTTTTGTGAATGTAAAAAATAATATTTTATTGGTGTAAATAATATGCGCTTTAAAATAAGACTAAATTGTTTTAATTATTTTAAAATTATTTCTTTTAATTTAAATTCTCATATTAGTTTTGATGTATTAAACTATTTTATTTTAATTAGTAAACTTAATTATAATTTTTTTTATTACTATTACTATTCCACTACTTATTTGTATTTTATTAATAAAAAACTATTCGTTTATATTCATTTTAATTTAATTTACAATATTTCTTTGTGATTGTATTCATAAAATCTTAGCTTTAAACTGTAACTTTAATTGTCTTTGATTGGTTTTGTGAGCATGCAAAATATAATCTTACTGTAGTTGACAATGAAATTAAAGTATGTCTAAATTATTTTATTGGTTTTTAATATTATTGCTATTAATTAATTTTAATTATCGAGCTAATTTTGATACATTTAATTATTTTATTTTAAGTATTAAACCTGCAAAGAACAATCTTTCAGATTCTGAGTGGAGTGAAGAAGTATATGGTTTTACAATAATGTTAATTATTTTTCTTTATTGCTAATATCTTTTCTACTAGCAATTATGCTCAATTTTCAATTATAGCTTTTTTTCTAAAAGAAATCGAACTAGGTAGGTCATATTTTGTTACCCAGGAGTTTTTCCAATAAATGGGAAAATAGGTACAATATTAAATGAATATTATTAAACTATCAAAATTGGATACTTTTTTTAAATTGTTTTGAAAATATCTGCTGTTTTCTGCATTGATATTGGTGCAGCGATTCTCAATCTGGTACACAAATACATTTTTTTGTAAATGAAATAAAAAATTATTACTCATAATATAGTCCATTAATATCTAATATTAAAAATAAGTTTACGTATTTAATTTTACTTTTGTATATAATCTGCTTAATTATGTAGATTTAATAATAAAAAGTGCTTGAATTTAAAATTCAATCGTGTCTACAATTCAAGCGCACGGCCACAAGGGTCTCATTGAATCATGTAATTTTTGTTTTTAAATTGTTAAAATGTCGATTATAATCGTAACAATTTCGGCAGTTTTTTTTTTTCGTGTTTCGGAATCGGAAATTCGGACAAATTAAATTTAAAAAATACTGGAATCGCCTAAATTTAACGATTTTAATTTATACGACTTAATTATTGTATACATTCAGTAGATATATACGTATTGTACACTTATGTGTGATGTTGGTTGGAAAAGGGGTCGCCTCGTCGAAATAATGTAATTCGCGGTTGAAGAGGGGGGGGGGATAAAAAAACGTCGCGCACCACTGATTTACAACATACACGGGCCAACTCAACGGCGCGTCGATTTTTTACGACACCGAGTACGGTAAGTACAATAACGCAATTGCCAATCGCAGATATTATCCGTTGCGCGTGCACGACAACGTCGACCGTCCGAGTTGTAACGGTACGGCGATAAGTGTCCCAAGTGCCGCCGAGAATACTATTTCTGACGCACGGTTGACAAACTACGGAAAACTTGCGGGCGGCGACAGAGTGGAGCGGAGGAAACGTAGGAAACTGCGAAATCGACTTTACTATCGAACAGACTGTTCGGAAACTGCCAAGGAAACGCCCGTTCGATATGGGTCTGTACGACGGGAACAAAGACTTAAAGTGTGGTGTACATTGTATATTAGACATGATAATATAATGTCGCGTTTCATCACGTTTGCAACGTTTTCATAAATAATACCGTTCAGAATTTTTTGACTATATTATATTATTATATAAATCTATGATAATGATCACTATAATTTATTTAATAATAACAGTAATAATACTTATAATTAAGATATTACAATAACAATATTATCTTTAAACAACGGCCCGACAATATTTACAAGATGGGGGGGGAAATAAAACACGAGAACGATTTCAAAACGCACTTAGGATGTCGAGATTCGTATACATAATAATGCAATGATAAGAAAATAATAATAATAATAATAATAACAATGCTCTCACAACGGTAAGATGGATATGGTGTTTGGTTGTTTCATCCCCGTTAACCGTCGGACACCTGTGTAATATATTTTCCTCCGGAGATGTAATACAATCAAATTTCGTCCACAGACCATTTACCTCCTACCCCAAGTAAAAAATCTAAACAGTTTCCTCTATTTTCCACGTTTTCTTCTTTTCCACGAAGAAAAACGAGAAATAATTGTTGTTACCTACCCTCCTATAACAATTTGTATAGTTATAAGTATGTATCTATATGAATGCCGTACATTTTTTTTTTTTTTAACGACCAAGAATATTGTTTATATTAAAACCAAGAACGGGGTCATTAATAAACAGGTTATGTAAAAGTTTAGTAAAAAAAAAAAAAAAAATATGTAGATTTTAAATTGTTTAAAACAAATAAAACGAAAAAAAATAATAATAAATAATGTAAGCGATGATGTTTACTATTTATTATTATGTCTATTGATTGTAATACTATTGGCATAGTCGTCTAAACGGTTTTGTAACACGATTAATATTGCTCCTCGACGTTTTATGATCATGGCATGATATTGTATCGTTTTGAAGTTTGCGAAATATTGCTCGGTATCCGAAAGGGCTCCGGTGGTTTTGATGATTTGGCTTGGGATCCCGTCGGGGTTTGCACTCGGAGAAGCTCAACCGCATAGACACACGGTTTTAGTCCATAAAAAAAAAAATTAAAAAATAAATATACTTGTATACACATATAACATAAATTATGTTCGGAGGAAAATGGTCTCGCGTCCGTATTGTCCTTGTGGGTCCGCATTAAACGTTCCATAACGTGAGCGTATTTGTCTGCGTTTATGGGTGCCCGAATTCGAAATTTATTGTCGCCGTAATAACGGAGTTCGAACTTGAGATTCCGATACGCGCCTCCTAATGAGATAATAATATGAAATGATTTTTCCGACAAACGGATGTAACGGTGCGTGGACGTTGAAACGATAATATTTCTGTAGTGGTTTGCGCGTAGACCGAGTCGAAATCAAAACTGGGTGTAATCACATTGGTATATCACCCGGATATGCGGCGCTGCTGGAGTGATGTGTACAGACGGCGTCGGAGGCGGACGTTTTCAGGCGGGACTGAGGTGGTCGAAAAGATAAATATCGGCCAACGGGAAAGTGGATTAAAGAAATTATGATCGCTGATAATAAACCGTATATGTAAATTTACGAGGATTAATGTGCGGTTTGACGTTTTCGCGTGTTACAATATTTTAATATTCCCTAAAAACAAAAACAATTCAGTTTGTTGAGCTTTTTTTTTTTTTTTT